ATAAGCACCTGTAGATATATTACAATCGATGTGAATGGTTCGAACTTTTATTATATTAACTGGGAGATCTGATTCGTGTTTTTTACCCGGCGTTAAAGTACGCTTAGAAAATCCTAATATTTTTCCTATACCATCTGCTTGTGTAAAATCTATTTCCAACGTATTGCTTTGAATTTCACACTTTAAAGTATTATTATTTGGTTTAAGTGAAAAATATTTATCATAATCTTCCTTTTTAACGTTGCCAGGAATAATTTGTTGTCTTAGGTGAGTTTCTATATCTAATATTTCATAAGTACCAGTTGGTATTATTATTTTTTTTAACACACTCGGTTCTTTATAATAAAATGTATTTTCACCTTCTTCAATATTAGGGATGCTGTTATAGGAATAAAACCCTATTAAAGCTATACCGTAGTCAAAATCTGGATTAAGTTGTATTGGATTTGTAAAATCTATACTTAAAACATAATTATTACTTTTTAATGTAAATAGCTGGGACATTATCTTTAAACAACGGTTAATAATAGACTAATCATATTTTCTTATCTCATTTATTTTTATAAAGAAACCACAAACATAAATGGCCACAATTAATTTGTTTAAAGTTTTGAAAACAATCATTATTATAATTAATTTTAACATTTTTTCCTAAATAATTTACTAATTCTTTTGGCGGTTTAAGACCACCAAAACTATCAAAATAAATAACAGAATTGTTTCTTTTAGTATAAGCTACCCAATGTGTACCCAAATTTTTCGAAATGTCTAAATTTAGGATTGCAGATTCATTTTTATTTTTTATTTTTGGTAAAGCGTCTCGCATAAAAACCCCTCTAAAATAGGGTATTTTAAGCTTTTGTGCATATTTTACCAATTCAGAATCATATAGGGCTCTATTGGGTAGCTTTATTGGTAGTTTTTTTGTTTTAAAAAAAGACCATATCCTCCCTTGACATTCCTTTTTAAATATAATCCCGAGCCTTTTTTTCCAATTTCCTCCATAGCCCTATTATGTCGACCTAATTCTTCAAGTTTCTTTTTAGCATTTTTTGTGTCTATCACCGTTTTGGCTACAGCGCTTGCGCCTCCAGCCAATGATCCTATGGCCCCTAAGGCTGCGAATAGTGGTAAAAGGGGTAAAAATCCTCCTTGTTTGTCGGATTCAAATGGAATTATTCTAGGCACCTTAATATTTTTACGACCCCCAGCTTTCTTTATAATCACCCGAGCTGCTTTAAGTGCCGTTGCAGTAGATTTTTTAAGTGAATTTTGATTGGATATATCTAAATCTTGAACATGTTTTTTAATTTTATCAACCAAACCACGTTTAAATGAGATTGGTTTTAGAGTTTTTCGAACGCCCATTCCAAGTTTTCTTTTAACCTTCATTCCCGTTGTTACTAACCAAGCTGCTGCTTTCTCACCTAATTTAGAGTTTTTAGATTTCACCCTTTCCCAAGCTTTATTTTCCAAAATCCAATCCGCTTTATGTCTATCCTCCAAATTTTTATTTTTTGAATAAGCAATATCGTGATCTTTACATGCAGCGTCTAAGGGGTTTATACCAGTATCACCCCTTTGAATTCTCTTATCTAATTTAGTACCTGGTCCGCAAAATTGATAAGAAGGCACGTGAAGCTCAAAGGGTAGGTTGTTAATTGCAGAATTTAATAAACCGCCACCTTTAAAAGTCAACATTGAAATGATTTTTTTTAAATAAAGTTAACCTTTTATAATTATTAATAAAAGTATGTTGAAAGGGATGTTAATATATTTTTTAATTGATTTAAAATTGTTTCATTCGGACAATTTATTCCAAATAAACTCCAATCAAAAACTCCTGCTCTTATTAATTTACCAGAAAATTCGTTATATTCATAAAATAAATTTTTTTTTAAAAAATAAATGTTACCATTTGTATAGCGAAATGCTGAAGATATATCTGGAGGGATTCCTGGGAAAAACTGTTTTATATTCCCCCGATTGACTGCATTTAAACTACATTCATCAATTTCAGTAACCCAATAATCATCATGAATAATATAAGTTCTACCTCTGTTTGAGTTAAAAATAGCATTTATGTTGCTACTTCGAGCAATATTAAATTTGTCTATTGTTTGATTAAATGTTTCACATGCAAGACTAGGAAAAGAAAACGTACTAACACGTTTTAAATTATCTATTATTACCACACTACCACTAGGTGTTTGGTATATGTGTAAAAAATCATTATATTTAATATAATCACTAATTTTTTTAGGCTTTTTAAGATTTATGCTGGAGGGCTCTCCTATATTTAAAATCCACGCTAACCCATTGTTAAAAACATACAGATGATTATTATTTGTGACTAACATTTGTTGTGGATACTCGATTTGACATAAATCAGTTAAATTTGGTGATGTGTGTGTAGGTTTTTGTGTAGAACCCGTTATTTTAGGTCTGCTTGTTGTTAAAATTGTTTTTGTTGTTCTTGGTTTATCTGTAAGTTTCCTTGTAGTTGGGATTGTTTTTGTTGTTGTTAATATTTTTGGAGTAGTTTTTGGGGTTGTTGATGTTACTATTTTTGGAGTAGTTTTTGGGGTTGTTGATGTTACTATTTTTGGAGTAGTTTTTGGGGTTGTTGATGTTACTATTTTTGGAGTAGTTGGGGGTAATCCATATAAATTTTGTATATTTTTTTTATCTTCATCGGATAGGTTTGTTATATTTGGTGAAAAATATGCGTACATTAGTGCATTATTATCTGGTGAATGACTCAACCCCAAAGAATGTCCAATTTCATGAAGCAATGCGGTATATAGACTTGTTTTATCATTATCTTTAGGTACATCGAAACCAAAATACCAATTTTCATCTGAATCTAAATGAATTTCCGTACAGGAATTAATATGACTTGGGTGGTATGCGTGACCAACTACAGCACCCTTTCCATCAAATGGTGCAATACAATAACCCTTCATGCATCGAACTGAATTTCTATGGTTATTTTTCCCAAATGAAATTAGAATGTCAGGATTTCTAAGCGAAAAAATAAACTTTAGATTTACAAATTTTTCCCACTCATTAAAAGCTCTAGTAGCAACTCTTTTTATCTCTCTATTATATGCATACCAATATATATTATGTTTATTCCATTTAGGTGGGTTTTGCGTCAATTCATAAATATTTTCATCTGGTATAGAGCAACGACGTGTTTTTATAAATTCTAAAAGGTCTTTCGTTATTTCACCACTTATGTTTAAATTATATCTCTCCTGAAATAATATTAAAGCTTCTTCATAATTAGTCAACGAAAACTCTGAACTATTAAGGTAGCCAAATGTTTCGAGATGTTTTATTACAACATCTTTATCAGTTAAATTATTTGATTTTACTAAGATTATACTTAGCAAAAATATTAATAACGATTTAAACCCCATTATCAATCCTGCAAACAATATTAAGACTGATCACCGAAAAAGATTTCTGGACAATAAATAGACTTGTCGGGACAAGTTGGTGTGACGTCAGCCAAAATGGTACCAAAAATAAAAATTTACAACAAAATAATCCTTATCTCCAAATAACTGATACCACACCGCATTAAAACCCCTGAAACTTGTCGAACAACAAGTCGGATGACGTCAGCAATTCAAAATGGCGTCAAAAATAAAATTTACAACAAAATAATAATAAATCCTTATCTCCCCCGGATATCAAACCACTGCAGCAAATGCATATCGCTTATCTTTTGCATCTCCAGTAATGCCAACTAAACACCTAAGCCCCGCCCACTTTAAACCACAACACCAATAGCTAATATCTATCAAACATGGCCGCCATCCGCCAGCCGCCATCCGCCAACAACCCACCAATAGGCTCACTTATCAGTTGAGGGCGTTGCCCAAATGCCTGCCCACCAATAGCTAATATGATCACCCCCCACCACCCACCAGGGGGGGGGGGGGGCGCCACCATCGAGAACCGCCTACGTCACGTAGCGTCTGGGTCACTTCCGGTGTAGAACATACATAGTGTCTCTACTGTTAGTCAACACAAAAAAAGGATTCCGTGGCCAGAAAAAAGCCAGCCTACGTTGAACAAAGGCACAAGGACATATTGCCCGTCATAACAGAGGAGCATGTCTACGTGTCAAACAACTTTTATGAACAAGTCCACACGCTATTCAGGTCACTTAGCCAATGCTGAAGTACGCTATACAGAAGCAATGGCAGCCCTGCCCCCATCAGAGTCCCATCCAGTGGCGGACGCTCCAGTACAGCCGCCCAGTCAGGTGATGTCACAAACGTTGCCACTATAACCAACTTGGGGTTATATGCTCCGGCAGCTCTCGTGTCTGGGAGCATAGGTTTGTGGGTTTTTATTCCTCAACTTACACTTTGGCCTGGGCGCCACCACAACTTTAAAGAGTACAATAACCTAAGGTTGTGGTCATTAAGTTAAACTTAAGGTTTAGTTACTTACTTTATATTTCAAATGCAAATTATATTAAATTTAATATTTAGGATGTTAAAATCATTACCGAATAGCTATTGGTTTACACTAGACTAAAAATGGTTAAAAAATAAAATAATGTTTCATAATTTACTGCAACGCAGTTTTGCGCAATAAAAAAATTAATTAGTGTTTCTGGACGTCTGGTATACTCATTTAGAGGGCTGGATCAGGCTCCTGGATGCATGGGGCTATTCATGCTCCATGGGTACTGTCATAAAAGCGATATTTGAGACAGCCAGGTCGACCGTTCCATCAGGAACTCCTCCATAGGAAAATGTCTCAGATTAATTATTTCGCTACAGTCATAAGCGAAGACCAGTCTCTCTCGAGCCATCGAGATACAAGCAACCAGAACCCCTCTGGCCGCAACAACGAGTCAACCGTCGACTTTACCAACAATCTACTTGTTTCATTCCAAGTCCTGGGTAGGCAAACCAGCTTCTGTGGAAGCTCGTGGTAAAAAGTCCTGAGTGTAGGCAAACACCGGTCCTTGTTAGGACCATCCCTTCGCAAAGAATTAACTGAAGACAACGCCGAGCCGACGTCATCTCCAGCGAGTTCCAAGCAGTCCAAGTCCTCAGTGCAGGCAAGAATTGTTCTTATTAGAACAAACTACGAAGACGACGTCCAGCCAAACCTCCGGGTCACTTGTCATCGGCAGTGGCCACTTGGAGAATACACCGGACGTCACCGTATCCAGCGGGGCCGATCCCTGGCCCCCAGTAGAGCCGTTCATAGGCTATCCAGCAGGGCCGCTCCCTGGTATTCCGCCGGGCCGACCCCAGGCCTACTACTGGGCCGATCCGAGTATACTACAGGGCCGTTCCAAGGCACACTGCCTGCCGCCATTGGGGCCGCTTCCAGGTTCCATCCATGGTAGTAACCCGAAGCCAAGCCATCATGTCGGGCCCTATCGATGCCCCGCCTGCCCATCTCCCTTTGGACATCTCTACTCGACCCTCATCTCAGTGTGTGTAGATATCACTATGTATTTCTATATTTTATATTTTTATAATCATATGTATTCCTATATATCTATATATATATATATATATTTTGGTATGTGTTATTCTTCAATTAGATCACAACATGAAAAAATTGATTATATCAGATAGATTGATATACCACACCAGCCTAACAGACCAGTCCACGATTAAGAAATTAGAAATTGTACCTGGTACTCACCATATTGAGAAACTAGGAGAGATCCCTCATAGTGGAAAAAATTCAACCTGCCAGACAATCAGTGTAGAAGTGTCCCAGGACATCATCGAACCCATTTGTGAAGATCACGTGATATTAGTGCCGCAAAAGTCAATAACTATCGAACTTAAGTGCATCAATATAGGGTTTTTCACAATAACTAAGTCCCAAAAGACTGTGCAATAACCGCGAAGGACTCTTTCTTAGAAAATAAGAAAACCTTAGCCTTAAACAATGTATTTTTGTTACCAAATATTTATCTTAAAGAAAACTTAATTGCCACGAAACCATACAACATAAATAATATAAGTTTGGATAAAATTACCGATATTCAAAACAAAATTGAAAAGATGCAAATCCATTCCCTACAACCACTAGATAATGAAGATAACCCCTTTAATATGTACCTTTTAATACTATAACTTTTAATTATTACCACCATATGTGTTGCTATTGTAGCTTATTTTATAAAATATAAAAAAAATTGTTAAAATAAAAATTAGTAGAAATGAAAAAATTGCTGTAGACAAAGAAAACCAAATAGCGGACATTAGTCCCCCATTGTGTTTTTTTACTTAAGAAGGGAGGAGTAATGTAACCACTCACAATACACCCCTTTGTACCATGTGTTAGATATAAGAACATAGTACTTAAGTTTTATAGTTTTAATGCAATATCTAGTGATAAGCGACTTATTGCAAAATAGAATTAACCTTAGACATTAAGATAGATAGACAATGTATAAATAAGGGTAAAATCCATTTTTAGGACATTACTGTTTTGGTTGTTGTACAAGTAACATCTATTCTGTAGAATAAAATAAATGTATTTAAGTCTCAATATTGTGTTTTAACAAATAAATAAATATTTTTAACCAAGTTCACAACTTGAGAAAGAAAATTAGCTCAGCACAAAAAAAAGCCTATTGACATAAATAACTACTATCAACAGAAATGCCATCAAGCAGGCAACATAGTGAAGTTTGGAATTCCAAACCCTACTCGCGATGAACGACGTAAACTATGTAAAGTGACATATGACAATGATCCACCTGCCTCTGATAAGAATAATACTTATGTCACAGATGGAGAAAATAATAATGACCATGCCATTCAGAAGAATGAAAGTCAAGTAAGTAAGCTCTAAAGAATATTTATTATTATTATCCAAGCACAGTTAAAGGGAAAAGCCAAAAAAGTTGATACCAAAAAATGTAAACAAAATGTTGATGATGATTGTAATTATGTGGTACTTGCTGAAATGAAAAAAATATCATCAATTGATAAGTATGCAGCTGAGGTACATAATAAAACTATAACTTTCTCTAATCCCTAATCATTTTAATAGATATCAGATGAGGATGATGATTTTGATAAACTAAATCATCAAAACTGGTCAAAAACACGATTGGTTGATAAAATAAGCATCCTTAAAGAAGAAAACAAAAAGTTACGATTAGATAACTCCAGATTAAGGGCCCTTCCATTAGTATCTGAAGGTAAGCAAATTAATTCGTTTATGCCAAACAAAAGCCTAACAAAAGATTTGTTACAGATCTACCAAAAATTGCAAAAATATCAAAAAAATTATTGATGGCCTTGAAAGGGCACACACTTCCCAAAAACCCAAAGCACTACCTAATGTTGAAAATAAAATTTTTAAAATTGTTGAACAAATCCATATTCAGCCAAAGGAACTTAAACAAAAAATTGAGCATCTCCACACAAAAAAAAGAGCTGCATTTGGAGAAAACCCAAAACAATCTTCAGAAGGAGACCCCAATTTGTTATGATATGATATCTGAACTTTCCACTGCTGAATCTGATGTAGGTCATTTTTTGTCTGCTTTTTTTAATTTAATTTTATTAAAAATAATTTAATAGGGTTTTGTTAAGTTTGGAGGCTGCTTAATAGAAAAAGAAAAGCTTATGCGCCTGGATAAATCTAAAGGTACCACTTATTTTACTACTTCCCTTATGAATATTTTTTTTTCAAAAGAAGAGATGGCAACAAATAGTATGACGGGCAAAAAAGTAATTTTTCAAAAAAAAAATGGAGATGATCGAAAAACTGCGACCAAGAAAGAACTGGTTTCCACCTGTCGAAAGGCTGTAATAGGTAATAATTTGACCTCTCCACTTAAACTCAAAAATACTTTTAATTGCCCAATGTGCGCTAATTATTCTACTATTGTTTTTTAGATTATGTCCAGAAAGAATTGAACATTAATTACTCAAATCTGATAAAATTTGCTATGAAAACAAAATTAAATAACGAATCAAGTAGTTGGGCACGACGAGCTAAGCAGCTAAATGAAAACAAATAATGAAGATCTTCATGTCGACAAGCTGTTTGTTTTTTATTTATATAAATTAATGTTATGTTTAAAGTATTACTTTTTGTTTTATACCTATAATAAATACTGTTTCTAATAAATATAAGTACTTTGATGTTAAACCAATATATAACTGCTTATTTTAATGTTTTATTATTAATTTATATTTAATTTTATATTACATATTTTTGTTTCAGTAATTAAGTACTGGTGCTATTTAATTACTGGCAGTGCCTAATTACTGCTAGTTCTTAATTACTGCTAGTGATAATCATACTGGCCAAAATATTACTGACCAATCACTAGCAAATGCCTGTGATTGGCAGTACTTTTTTTTAGTAATTATCAGTAATATTTTTCCGTAAGGGTGGCTAGAAGGAATTCTTATCAACATAAACGCTAATCATACAAGTATCAAGGAGATATTTAACGAATACTCTAATATAATCCAATGAGTACAGAGAGCATTTGAAAATGTAGGAGTTAATGTTGACCAAGAGGTTGTTAATATTCCTGAAGGACATATCGAAAACAGAAACATGGAGGTAAGTCAGGAACAACAACTTGCGTTGCAAAATATAACGGGCAGCAACAGAAATGCCAGAGAAAAATTTTATGCTGGGTTACAGTTGTTCAATAATTGATTATTATTAAAATACGCATATATAAAGGGTGTCCAATTAGGTACGCTCGATGTTTGATAGGCGGCTATGGCTAAGTCAGTACAGACAGAGCTGTCAAATATTTTGAAGTTTTGTTGGCATATTATGACATTTGATAATGGAGCGTTACACGGTTGCTCAACGCATTCAAATTATTCAAATTTACGAACAAAACCAATGTTCAATTCGACAAACGTTTCGAGCATTGCGTGCGATTTATGGTCAGCATGAACGTCCAGCAGAGTCAACTATTCGCCTATTCGCAGGCAAGAATTGTTCTTATTAGAACAAACTACGAAGACGACGTCCAGCCAAACCTCCGGGTCACTTGTCATCGGCAGTGACCACTTGGAGAATACACCGGACGTCACCGTATCCAGCGGGGCCGATCCCTGGCCCCCAGTAGAGCCGTTCCTAGGCTATCCAGCAGGGCCGCTCCCTGGTATTCCGCCGGGCCGACCCCAGGCCTACTACTGGGCCGATCCGAGTATACTACAGGGCCGTTCCAAGGCACACTGCCTGCCGCCATTGGGGCCGCTTCCAGGTTCCATCCATGGTAGTAACCCGAAGCCAAGCCATCATGTCGGGCTCTATCGATGCCCCGCCTGCCCATCTCCCTTTGGACATCTCTACTCGACCCTCATCTCAGTGTGTGTAGATATCACATATGTATTTCTCTATTTTATATTTTTATAATCATATGTATTCCTATATATCTATATATATATATATTTTGGTATGTGTTATTCTTCAATTAGATCACAACATGAAAAAATTGATTATATCAGATAGATTGATATACCACACCAGCCTAACAGACCAGTCCACGATTAAGAAATTAGAAATTGTACCTGGTACTCACCATATTGAGAAACTAGGAGAGATCCCTCATAGTGGAAAAAATTCAACCTGCCAGACAATCAGTGTAGAAGTGTCCCAGGACATCATCGAACCCATTTGTGAAGATCACGTGATATTAGTGCCGCAAAAGTCAATAACTATCGAACTTAAGTGCATCAATATAGGGTTTTTCACAAGTCCCAAAAGACTGTGCAATAACCGCGAAGGACTCTTTCTTAGAAAATAAGAAAACCTTAGCCTTAAACAATGTATTTTTGTTACCAAATATTTATCTTAAAGAAAACTTAATTGCCACGAAACCATACAACATAAATAATATAAGTTTGGATAAAATTACCGATATTCAAAACAAAATTGAAAAGATGCAAATCCATTCCCTACAACCACTAGATAATGAAGATAACCCCTTTAATATGTATACTATAACTTTTAATTATTACCACCATATGTGTTGCTATTGTAGCTTATTTTATAAAATATAAAAAAAATTGTTAAAATAAAAATTAGTAGAAATGAAAAAATTGCTGTAGACAAAGAAAACCAAATAGCGGACATTAGTCCCCCATTGTGTTTTTCTACTTAAGAAGGGAGGAGTAATGTAACCACTCACAATACACCCCTTTGTACCATGTGTTAGATATAAGAACATAGTACTTAAGTTTTATTGTTTTAATGCAATAAGCGACTTATTGCAAAATAGAATTAACCTTAGACATTAAGATAGATAGACAATGTATAAATAAGGGTAAAATCCATTTTTAGGACATTACTGTTTTGGTTGTTGTAACATCTATTCTGTAGAATAAAATAAATGTATTTAAGTCTCAATATTGTGTTTTAACAAATAAATAAATATTTTTAACCAAGTTCACAACTTGAGAAAGAAAATTAGCTCAGCACAAAAAGCCTATTGACATAAATAACTACTATCAACTGTAAAGCATTTTTTGTGTATTTTGAATTTTAGAGTGGACAGAAATGCCATCAAGCAGGCAACATAGTGAAGTTTGGAATTCCAAACCCTACTCGCGATGAACGACGTAAACTATGTAAAGTGACATATGACAATGATCCACCTGCCTCTGATAAGAATAATACTTATGTCACAGATGGAGAAAATAATAATGACCATGCCATTCAGAAGAATGAAAGTCAAGTAAGTAAGCTCTAAAGAATATTTATTATTATTATCCAAGCACAGTTAAAGGGAACCACATATTTTATTTAACAGGTTGACTGTCCACTACTCCGATCGGAGTGTACCGACTTCAATTGGCCACGCCACCTACATCGATCGGAGTGTAAAGATAAGTATTCAGTGGGCTTTGGCGATGGAATCCCGTGAAAATATTAATGCCTGAAGCCGACCGTTTATATGAGCCAATTTACATTGTTTATGGCATAAATATAGGCGAAAAAACAAATAAAACATAACGGCAACCGAGAGTGCATCAAAAATATGAGCGGCAGTCAACCTGTTAAAAAATCGAAAAAAACATAAAATATAACAAAAAATAAAATTCTGTATAAAAAACGAATTCATTTAAATTAAAACGTAATTAAAAAAATTAAAACGGTAGCAAAATCCTTTTTAGAAGTCGGTATATGTGTAACCTTCTTCAGCAGAGAGGTAGAAGTTTATTTCCTTTTTAAAATCTTGATAAGTAGCGTAATGAATCGACAATTGTATGGAATTTGCACAATTACTTATTATTGGTCTTCTGCTGCTACCAACAAGATTATTAAATGAAACATTAATAATATATGGCATCTGATATGAGCTAGTGATAAAAAGACAAACTGTCTCAGACTATCATTATCTAAACATGTAAATTTCTAAAAAATGTATTATGGTCCTTTCTTCATTCGTTAAATTTTCACCATAATTTAAACAATTTACTATTTTATTGGGACTAGGTTTTTGCAAATCTAACATAATTCCAAAATCTCACTTTTTCCAAAAGGCACCATACTTTTCTAGGGAAATTCCTTGCCTAATTAAATCAATAAACTGTTTAGGCTTATCGATCATTAGCAATAGAAATTATTTGTTCTCTAATGTCAAAAAATTGATAGGCTGTGTATATATATTCACTAATATTTCATTTTCTCTGGCATTTAGGCTCTCAAAATCATTTAAGGCTTTTTTATAACTACCTTACTATACCACTTTTCGGGATCCCCAATTAAACCCAATGTTATTTGAGATAATTTGGCAGTTATACTTTGTGTCAATACCAACATATGTTCTAAAGCTCTCGCGATACACACGTATTTTTTGTTTGTCTTTTCTTATCCTATTTTATGGCAAATAAGGAACAATACAATCTTCTCCTCTGACGTAAGTATTTTCTATAGATTAAAAATATAAGTTGAAAAATTCCTTAGTCCACCTCCGTCCATACCCACTTCATCTGCAAATTTAACGGTCAAATTTTTGTTTACATTTTCATTTGAATAAAATTTGAAGGCATACTCTAAACAACAAGATCTTTTAATTTCTACATCAATAATCTCAGCATCTTCGGGTAGTGTAGGTAGAAAAAAATAGCATCCTCCCTTTCCTTAAGTTTCTCAAATTGAGTATTTCTGAAATCCTCTGTAAGGTCCACGTCTTCTTTTCTGACATATTCTGTACTAATTAAAGCAGTCTCAATGTTAAAAGGAATATCCCCATGAATGCAGCCTCATCTTTATTCAGGAAGAAGGATGAAGCTACGACCAGCCTGAAATCTGAACGCGCTCGCTAGGTGGTGCTAGTTCCGATAATGAAAATACGTGCAAAAACATTTAAAAACAATTTTAATTCGCGTACCATGGAAATACACATATCATTTTAACTCATATGTCATGGAAATTCAACTAACATTGAAATTCATTCAAATTAATTAATTTTTCATTAAAATAAACAATATATTTTAAAAACAATTTAAATGATGCACAGGGTGCTGGGTTTAATAAGAAGTAAAACGGCGTTCCATAGAATTAACGATTTTAAATTATTTTTAAAAGTTACATAGGTAAATTTAAATTATTGTTTATAAAACACATATTTTGAGCTTGATGTTACCTCTTGTTACATTTTACATTTTGTACTTGATAAAAAAGCGGAATATTGGGTGTCCCGCTTAGGGTGCTGACGGACCGTCGGTGACGGGACAATAGATAATAAATAATAATAATAAATTATTATTAATAATGGGCGTGTTTTGAGGGCGCTAAACAACGGGCAACACTAGTTACAAGTGAACTGGGGGTAACAACAAATCGAAAACGGTTCTAACAATTTCATTGAATTTTTGTATTTAGATATTTTTGGGGGCGCTGATTACGAATTTGATATAAAAAGTACTAATTTCTCAAAAACAGCTCTATAATTTTCAAATTTATCTTGGTGACGGGTTGAGATTAAAACTTGAGCTTGCAAAATTCAGACAACCGATTTTACCGGTGAGTGCATGTTAATTTTTGTGTGTTTAG